ATCAACCACCTCCACACGTGCTCTTCCTTAGTTGCAATTTGCCCTGTGAACACGCCGTCCTCAATGATTGTGAGTCATCGGAAAATTCCAAGGCGTTCTATATAAAGGCGAGATGGAACGTCTGGCTCCAAGCCCTGGGATTCTGCGGCACGCTAGCCTGCGCGGTGCTCGTTGGCGTGCTAAGGGTGCTGACAGCGGCCGGCCAAGGCACACCAAATGTGCTTTGGTATTTTCAGGCGAGGACGACTCGACAAGGACAAAACACACACACGCATCCACACATTGCTGATAATTGTTTTTGTCCCCCTGCGGAGGCCTTGACTTTTCCCTCCCGCTGACGCTGACGTATTTTCGTCGGTCAGCCGGCTAGTCCTACCAATACGGAATAATTTGAAACACAAACACATACGGGCGGGTCTACCGTGATATATGCCTTTGGTAAAAATCTAAATCACCTTCTCTGGCAAACTGCATCCATCCCGGAACGCTCGGCAAGAGCGTTGAAAAGGTCAGCCTACGCAGCAGCTGATATCCAGTGGCGACCAAACGTTCAGCCTACGCAGTAGCCGATATCCAGTTGCGTTCGCGCTCCCCTGTGCCTACCTACAACTACGTGGACAACTACGCCAGGTTTTTGTCGGCCATGGCGCGAGCGGAATGTTCGCCCTTACCACTCGATTCGAAGCTTCTGCAGGGCGCCTCTCGACCTTGGCGCGAGGCGATGCAAACCCGCCTTTGGTGAACGTAGCTGCTCGCAGGGCCTTCGTCTCAGGTGAAGAAAAAGACGGTGTTTTGTGTATCTCGAGAGTCGCCACTATGTATGTGTATGGGCGGGATTCGGCCGCGGGCACTCTCATTTTCGTTATATTTGTTCCCGTTGTTGATAGCGGATCCCCACCCTCGATTTCCCGTTAGAGCAGTCCAACCGAAGCTCTGCCGTGGGCTGAAGGTTGTCTTCTCTGTCCAAGCTTCGTTGGTTCATTACTGAGGGCACTACTGCCACTGTCTTGAGTTTCCAGCTGCCAACCAGACGCATGAGATGCCGGTTGAAACAAATCAGCTCGACGTTCAGGTTTACAAATTCGGCAGATTCTCCGTGTACGATTCCCGATCCACTGAAGGGTGTCTAAACCACTCGCCTAGAGTAGGTGCAAAGCAAAAGCAGAAAGCCTCGATGGCAGGTGGTAAATATGCGCGCGCACCACGCATATGTTCGAGCAGTTCGCGCCGCCTATACTCGCCAAGAAATCGACTCGAACCGAAACGTTGCGTCGCTTGACGTTTGCGAGAGGATCGACACATAGAAAGATGAACGCCTTCCACCAAACCACTCCTTAATCTCTCTGCCGACTGTGTGCGTCTTGCCAAAAACCCAAGGTGGAGCTACAAGGTTCGCAGATATGCCGCTGAAGCACCTGGTACTGAAACGACGGGATTCGACGGATTCGGAAAGCGAGTCGACTTCGTCAGACTCCCACACGATCGAGAATGCACGAGAAAAGCAATGCTCACAGCAGGTGTGCGCGAGGGTTTTTTGGACCGTAAGCACAAGGTCAGGTCCGTGTTCGAGCGCCCGCCGTCCTTGGAAGACAAGGCACCGACTCTCTTACGCGACATGGTTGGTATTGTTGTTGTTGTTGTCGTTGTTGTTGTCTTCACATTAAAAACCGTTCCGGTTTCCGCTCAGTACTTTCTAGTATCCGTACTGGTCCAACCGACGCGGACGCCTTCCGTGGTCACAAGCCTACAACCCAAAAGAGGGGTACACCCTTCTAGAACAAAAAAAAATAATGGATCCCTCGCGAAATGGCAGGGCGCTTATAACTCCACGGAGAGGCCCATGCCTGGGGCGAGCGGTTCGTCCTGTGGCGAAGAGAAAAAAAACGACGTCTCCGGTGGCGGTAGAACTGGTGGTGCTGGCAGTGGGCCTGTGCGTGGCGTGCGGCCCGACGGCCAGCAGAGAGAACAAAGCAGCAACCCCTGCTCCGATTACTCGGTGTGCTCTCCGACAACGGGATCTAGCCTCGGCGTGGTAATGGAAGAGGGACGCCTCCGCCACGGGAACATCGGGAGAAAGATCCTGCCGATAGAAGGGATAGCGAAATAATCGAAGTACGTAGTTGCCCGGTCACTTCGTGGAATTTATGTACGGACGAGCGTTGGGGATCACCGCGGATCTGAAATCTGGATGGTGCGCACCCACTACACTGTCAACCTTTTAGTTGTGTCAGTCATCCGTAGGACCAAGTTGGCGTATGTGTTGGAGTGCTCACGTGAGATAGTGGACAATTTCACGCATAAATAGTTACACACCGCACCATCTCCTTGTGCGTAAATCCGGTGGGAGGGGGGGTATTTGCGATTGAGGAATGAACGTGAAAATACATTTTTGGGTTCTAAAATGTTTTATAGGTTGGTAATACCGCCGGCACGTAGCAGCCCGGCTGGGTGGGCAGCGTGTAACACGATCATTTCGTGGCGAATGATTTGCGTAATCTTGTTCAATTGATTTCGCTCGATGCGTAGAACAGGCACCCTCACTCACGCGTAAGTACCTCGCATTTTTGCACAAGACCCAACAAGGCCTACACAGTTTTTAGTGCAGGGTTCTTAACTGAGCGACTGTTCCCATGGTCAAGAACGTGAAAATGTCTTCTCTTGAGCATGTAGTTCTCAATTCACAGGGTCTGGAGTGGTGTCACGTTATGTGGAGCCGATAGGGCACCCCCATGACGTGAAGCGGGGTTGGAATTGTCGGCCATACCCCGGCGGTGAATACGCCCCGACTTCGTAGGTTTTTCAGCACCCTCTTAGTTGCGTCAGCTAATACAGGGGTGGTGGTGATACTCCTGCAACATGTGGTGTCCGGGGCTAGGTTTCCAGGTGAAGCAACGGGCGTGCCATTGGATTCACTGTTGTACCCTATTTTTGTTTTCCCTTGACCTGGCAGCCCAGGAGACAACACTTTTTGGCGAGTAGTGGTGGAAAGTTGATGTAGCTATTCAGGTATATTTTGTACATTATCATTGGTATTGTTTTCTTGTATCGTTCGCCGCGGACACTGTATGCCTCCGAAGCTTACGGGAGGAAATATTACTGGATAGAGTTCAGGTCGGGTTAACTGTACCGCCAACAACAGTATCGTCGAGCCGTTTGTGGATGCCTGTAGCGAGGTTATACAGTAATCACCTCGTTTGTGGATGCCTCTAGCGAGGTTATAGTAATCACATCGTTCTGGACAGAGACTGGAATAAAGTGGTGTTCACCGCCAATGTCATTTTCCGCGCCCCAGGAGTTAGTGGACGTTGCATCTCGCCTGAAGCGCTGGCAAGTTAGTTAGTGATACCGTACTGGACAACAAATATCGCCTGCAGCGCTGAAGATGCAAAGATTTCAAGGCAATCATAGACCCTCACTGTTCTAGGCCAACTCCGTTTGGCCGTGCTCTAGACTATACTGAATGTTTACTTGTGCATTGATTATCGCCGGAAATTCAACGGGAGACTTCAATCGTTAAACTGCCCCCTCAGCAAACGCTACCAAGAGCCTTCACGTACGGCGTCTGCACCCAACGAAGGGATTTTCATCGGGATTTTCGGTTTAAGAATGCCACAAGCCCCGGCAAACGTGTACCTTTTCGTGGGCGTGACGAAAAGGAGGAGAAATTGTGTCGAGGCATCTTCATCAAGCTTCTACCTTCAATCGCATTATTGTCGCAAGTGATACAGCCTTCTCCCACGTCCATCAGGAGGCTACCCCATGTACCATGACCAAGGGAAGTTCCCGTGCGTTTCCTTCAACAGCTAACGACGGCCGTTTAGCTTTCATGTCTGATATTCGAGGCAGATACGTTGGCGGCGCCAACTGCCGTTGGTAGCGGTAGAAGGATTTGGTGTAGTCCAAGGACTCACTGATGTCCTCGGGCGGCCGTTCTTGCTGGCAAAACGTTAAACGCCTCCCCTATCTGGAGCTAAAACAAGGTGACCGTACTGGAGTTTTGAGAGGGACAAGAGAGAGAAAAGGAGAGGGAGAGAGACAGAGAAATGAGTGCACGAGGTGAGGAACGACGGATATTATTATCGTGGAAACGTTTCTACAAGCATAGGCCTGGTGTTTCCTGACGGGGTAGCAAAGCCTTCGGGGTCGATGCTAACCATTCTCGTCAAATTGTGTTAGGACCATTGAACTCAGCTACTTCGTGGATTCCAACTACGTGCCTGCTTGTCAAGACCATCCTTCAATGCTAGCAATATTCAGTCGGCCAAGAACCAGTCTCTGCCTGCCCAAACACACCCACTCCGGTCATAGCGTGGAGCGACTTCAGCGCCGCGCCGCACCCTCCCAACGGTTTGGATCACCCCCCCGTATGGTACGAAATCTTTGCGACAAGCTTCTGTCTCCCCCACATACATAGAACGAAGCAGGCTCTTGTGCCCACATGACAACCCCAGGGCAAGAAACAACTCCTAAGCACAACCACATTCTCTGTGCATGGTCCAACTACACATAACTATTCTGGGGGGGTGAATCTTCCTCCCCGGTGTCCCTGGCCATAGCACGTCAGGCGTGCAGACCGAAAGATGTAAACTGGCGCCCAGCATACTTGTAGATCTGACGAGAATACACAACCTCCCAAGGCCTACCGTCCAAACCATGGACAAAACGCTCGCCGCCATTCCGAGTACCCCCCCCCCCTCCCCAACCTTCCTCATTGCCTTCCATCAAAACCATCGGTTCTCCCCCCACCATGCTCGTTCAAAGTTCCCTTTCCGAGAATTGCCCCAGCCTCATCGCTTCCCCAGCAGCAATCATCTGGATTGCACCCCCAATCGATTTCGGGAATAGAGAACCGATTCTCCTGATGTTTTGTGCCAGGCTTGCGTTTGACACCAAATTCATTGTTTACGAACAAATCTCTACCGCCTTGTGACTCATGGGCAGCATTTAAGGCTGTAAATATGCCTTGTACATACATATGCTGGTGCTTCCCCGCAGAAGCAACAACGACAATCATAAACGACAACAACATCCACAAGAATATCAACAGCAGCGACAACAGCGATAAGGACAACGACGGCGGTACCAACGACAACGACAACGACGGCAACAACATCCACGACAAGAACACGGTCTAACGCAGTAACTTCTACTTCTAGATCTGGCCCACCAAGCGCCTCATTCGCTTGATGCAGCGCATTGTCGTCATTCTGCTACGCCCTGCCAAAGCGGATATCAAAGACAGAGATATGCTGGACGCACTAACAGGGCAGAACGGGGCTCGCCACACCGGCAAGAACGAGCCAGCCAATGGCCAACGATCGAGTCCATCGGCATGTACATCACCGCCGTGTCAGCAGCAAATGCAGCGACGAGAGGCACGACAACGGTGACACGACAAAGAGAACGAGCCCCAGATTGCAAGACGACCCATGAATTGCGATCGATAGTCGGTGTTGGAGGAATTTTTCTGGGGCCCATTTGAATTTGATTTCTAGAAAAGTGTACCCCCCTTTTTGGGGATAGTTGGCTTGTGGCCGCGGAAGGCGTCCGCGCCAGTTGGACCAGTACGGACGTTCGAAGGTGCTGAGCGGAGACCGGACCGGAACGGTTTTTTAACGTGAAGACTACTACAACAACAACAACAACAACAACAACAACAACAGTTCGGACAGATGAGTTAAGCCCTCGAAGGCCTGCCATCTGTTTGCATCGGACGTCTCGGCTGCACCTCTCTGAACCGATGGATGGATTACTATGTACTACTGCACATAGGTGTCGCGACAAGGTATGAAGTATCGAACACACACAACCCCCCAGACATTTCGCCACCAAACATGCCGATACCCGCAAGTGGGTGAGTTGTCCACGTTCAATCCGCGGGAAAAGAGAAATCAAACCGCAATGAAGACCACCCCAAGGAGTTCCAGCCAATCATCTATTGGCGCCTGACGTCGACCGCGTGCTCGTTCGAAGCCAATGTTGAGCGTTTCGACTCGATCATACGCGAATCCCTCGACAAGAGAACTGGTATAAAGCTCCACCGAAGTGAAGCCAGAAACAATTCCTGCACCTTAGCCAAATCCGAAACCTGCTCAACCTTGTGCCATTTCGACGGCCCCTGCGATGCTGACGGATATACCCAGCCCTGGGCGCCCCCCGAAGAGTGCTAAGGCTGTGGCGGTGACAAGTACGCAACAAACAAGCGACACCATGGGGCGAAAGGTCGGAAGGGTTAGCCCAGCCAGGGGGGAGGTTCGGTCTTGGAGTCATGTCCAAGCGTTCAGACCTCGACTTCTCACCTACAGTGAAAAAAAATCAAACCACGGCGGTGGCCTTTTGTATGGCCGTCGAGGAAATACCCAGCCATCACACACGCCGTCCGGAGCTTACAAGCACAAACCAAGCACGAGAAAGAGAAAGGCTTAGAACTTCCCGGCCACAGCGGTCCAGACATTTTTGTTTTCTTGTAGCATGTGCAAGTATTACTAACAGGGACCACCAACACACAGCAAAAAAAGAGTGTAAGCCCTACCCGAGTGCGCCACTCCAGCTCCAGCCCCAGCTTCTGAGGGAGCGTGAGGACCCTCTTCTCCTGGCGCTCTTGCTGCCGAATACTGTCCGCGTCGCCCCCTTTCTTCTCGCCTCCGCACTCGTTGCCGCGGGATTCCCCGTCGTCCCCCGTCTGGGCTTGCTGCGGCTGCTGGACCTTGGCCGCTGGTGGCCACATTCCGCGCTTCGGGGCCCTGTTATCCCGCTGCCACGCCTTGGGAGTGTTGCTGTTCAGCCCCTCGCTGCTGTCGACCGTGGAAAACGTGTGCTGCTGCGACCGACCTTGCTGTGACTGCGCGTTCGTTCGAGTCTGCTTCTGGGGCTGGGCCTGCCGGTCTCGCCGTTGCTTGGATTCGGGCCGGTGTTGACCTTGCTTGCTCGTCTGCAGTTGATCGGTCTTCGGGTAGGCCGCCTGGTGCAGGGTGAGCGGGGTGGCAGGCGTGTCGGGCGCACCCTTTTCCGCGTCGTCGTCGGGAGCAGACCGAGGACGTTCGGAACGTGGCAGAGGGGAGGGGGAGGGACGTTTCTTACAGATCTTTTACGAGGCGTCTGATCCTCTGCCATCTCCCTCGACAACCTAATCGATCGACTTTTTCTGCTCTCTTCGACGCCGCATTCGTATTCTCTCAGTGGCCATCGAGACGGGTCGGCTAGCCAACACCACCAACGTCGCCGAAACACCATATTTTCTGTCTTGTACCCTCTTGCTCTTATCGACTTTACCACATTCTTGTACCGCCACCGGCAGTCGAAAGGCTTTGTCTCTCAAGTCCAAGCGCTCCGACGGATAAAACTCCTCCGTTGCGTACACATCCTCTGTCACCCCCACAACACCCCCGGAAAGCAGAAACAGCTAAAGTTTTCTAGCGGCCACCGAAGGTGCCGACAAACGTATATACGTACCTCGACAATGGGCTCGGAGCCGCTCCACCTCCCGACCAACGTCTCCGCGCTTCCCTTCCTGACGAATTCTCGCCGCCTGGCAGCGGCTGAGCTGGTGCCGCTCCGGGAGAGAACGGATCCCGTGTCGGTGCCGATCGAGGCCACGCCGCTGCTCCGCCGCGAGTCGGTCGCCCCCTGCCTGCTGCCGCGCCGGTCCTGTCCGTCGGCCCCCTCTGCCTCGATTGCTCGATCGACGGGTTCATCGTCAGCAGTGGTGCTGGTACTGCTGAACTTTGCCAGGGTCTCCCTCGCATCGCTGACGGCTTTGGCCTTTGCCTCCTCGTTCCGCTCCTGCTGTAGCAGTTGCCGCAGCTGCTGCAGCTGCTGCAGCTGCTGCAGCCGCCCCTTCTGACCATGTCCTTCTTGCCCGCGGGTCCGGGCCGTGTGCCGGCGAGGACTCTCCCCATCCGCGCTCGGAAAAAGACCACGGGAGTCGGGCGAGCAATGCTGCTTGTTCAGGATGCCGCTAGCGCCTCCTTCGAAGGAATCGCCAACACCGCTCCCGCCGCCGCCGCCGCCGCCGCCTACCGTGCCAACATCACCGCTGGGGTCATCTTCGTTGTGTCCGATGACGTGCTTCACCTTGGACGTGAGCTTTCGGGCGTGGGTGTCGCCACCAGCGCCCATCTTGGCGTACTCGCGGTTGGACACGGCGATCTGGTCCTTCAGAGCGGCGTTCTCGGCCAGGATCTCGGCACTGCTGGCGAGGTGCTCGGCGTACTCCTGGTGGATGACGGAGTTCTCGTGGCGCCAGGCGTTGGTCTCGCGGATCACCTCGGCGTGCCTGTTGTGATGGCCGTGGTGTCGCTATCGTTGTTGTTGCTTTGTTGGCAAAATATTTTATGGCGATTGGTTGCCAAATTCCATCGCAAGTCAAGCTGTGTCACAAGCAACACATTCGAGCTTCGAGAAATTTGCCCGACAAAAGCAGGCGGCGCCAGCTCGACATCAGGCTCCGATTTCGTCACAGACGTATCGTGATGCTGTCATGCAACCCGTACCTACAGAGGCAAGGAATTTTCGATTTTTCCGACATACCACCACGTGGGGATAGCCCTATACCGGAAACAATAAAATCACCCTGCGCCGCAAGTTAACGATATACTGGTACTTCATCACAATACGGGCAGGTTGCGTGTGCTGCAGCCTACCCCCATTCAAAGAAAGACGCCAACAGGTTGGCCAGTCGCAGGTACCCTCAATGGGAGCTACCTCCTGACTACCAGGGAACGACCGAGGAAGGAACTATTGCCGGTGTCCTATCCTAATCTTGCACAACTATAAGCTAGGATGAACAGAAGGAAGTATCACAATCAGCTATTGTGTATGCATGGAAACAACAAACACTGGCGGTTCGTACCAAATGTACCTAGTCTTGTGTTCTCAGGTCAAATACACACCCTCAGACGCTGCCTTTATTCAATCTATCCAAGAAAAATGCACACATGGCACGCGCGGAACTTCGGGGTCCTGCCCCATCTCCATCGACATCAGACCGCAATACAGTGCCTGCCGGAATAGCCCACGAAAGGTGTATCGGGGTGTATGGTTGCAACGGGCCGTTTCAAACAGCAGCTGTTTTGCTTCTAAATTTGCAAATTTCCACATCCGTAGACCATGGAACCTCGTTTTGCGGCCGAGGAAAGTTTTGAGGAAATCTGCAGAGTCGAAATTTAGAAGGTTGGAAGTTTGGAAGCAAACCGGCTGTGAATAATACGGCCCTAAATACGAGTGGCCGTCCATATTTGATGCTGTCTTCGCTACTCTACTGATTGTGCTTGGTATCACTTCGCAATACCTACCTGCGCTCCGCCTTCCCAGCTTTCTGAGCCAGCTCTGCGTTTTCCGCCATAAGCTTCTCGTTTTCGCTCTCCAGCTCCATGTTCCGGTCGAACACCTCAGCCGTCTTGGCAAGGAACGCTCGCGTGTACTCCTGACCCAGAACCTGGACAGCAAGCAGCATATGATAGATTTCGTCTGATATGGTTGTGGTATTCTTTTGTCGAGTAGCATCGACCGCGCTAACCGGCTAGCCAATGCAGGACGTCAGTCTGCGAGAAATTGTGTGTGTACGCTATGGTTCCTTAGAAGTAGGATCGACCGCGCCTACGCGCTGACAACTGAAAAAAGTCCGTTTGCGTGGTACGTGGGTGCACGATCGGATTTGTTCTCACCGTAACCGATCGCGTTAGTTAACCGACTTCCCGACAACAATGACGCGAGTCCTACACCGGGGAAGGGAACCCTGCTACGCGTCTTCGGACATGCGTTGTGCGTTCGTGGTGTTTGTTGGGTTCGGAACGACGATGGCGGTTTTGGGTTTGGCGACCCAATGGAAACCTAGTTGAAACCCGAATAGAACCCTGTGCGGTATCCTACGACAAGCAGAGGGTTCATGGCGAAACGCAAACAATAACGACGGCATCGGACACAACAACGACTGCGGCGACGACGACGACGACAAGAACAACAACAACATCATGACAACACCACCACAACAACAACAACAAAGAACAGCAATAACAACAGAGAGGACCCACAGCCACACCTCGTTCTTGCGGCACCAAGCGTGGTTGTCTCGAAGCGCCTCGGTAAACTCGTCCCGCAGGACCTGGCTCTCGAGGACCATGGCACCGTTCTCCTGCTGGAGCGCCAGGTTCGCCTGGCGGAGGGCTTCGTTCGCAACGGACGTCCCCTCCTGGAGGTGGAGGGCCGCGATGTGGGCGCGGTGTAGGGTCGCCAGTCTCTCTTCGACCGTCTTGCCTCCGGCAACGGTGTCTCCGACGTCAGAAGGTGGGGAGGGGGCAACCGGGGGGTCGCCGGCGTGGCCAGTTTTTTCCGCCGCCGTTTTCGCGAAGGCGGAGGAGGCCGTCCCCGGTGGCGCCGCATCGGCCGCCGCCGCCGCCGCCGCCGCCAAGTCCGCCGCTGCGGACGCGGTCGCGGCTGCCGCGGTGGCTCTCTTCACCGCGACCAGAGCTCTGTCGTAGGGGCTCAGGGATATCACGGGGGCTTTGCCGGTGTCGACATTGTCGTCGCTTTGATCTTTTCCCGCTGTTTCGGGATAGAGGCAGGAGAACAAGGGAATGCCGTTGCGAAAGGAGCGTCGTTCGAGCGTGCTTATCTTTTCAGCGAAAGTGGCATCAACCAGAACACCGCTATTCCGTTTTATCAAAAATGATGATCTACAGTAGCTCAATAATTCAATGCCAACTAGAGTCTTGGGCGTGAAATCAGTATACGCAAACTGCAGGAGCTCCCAGCTGACCTCGTCCACACTGCAGACTACCGAGAGCGCAAGCGCAACGTCTTAGGTATTTCACGCCTCCTTGAACGTCTTCCGGCGACACACACATACACAAGCAAGCTCGAAAGAACGTGGATCTTGCACCGCCAAAATAGGTCGGAGAGAGCGGATTCCAATGAGAAAACAGATGAACAGTAAAAACATCGAAGACAACAACAACAGCAGCAACAACAATAGCGACAACGATACCCGACAACGACAACAGCAACAACGACAACGACAATGACAACGACAGCAACAGCAACCCGATGAGACGCTCCCTAGGAGCCACGAGGGGTGCTACGACAAAGATTCCGCGCCGTTCGTGACTGTTTTCTGAACGTGCCCAAGGTCAACGATTTAACTCTTGTTCGAGAACGACAGCAGTAGCAGCAGCAGAACCACCTGCGGCGGCGATCGCCAGCGCCTCCGGGCGTCTCCGCTTCATCTCCTCGTCTTGGGCACAGTCTCCCTGGTTCTCCATGGTCCACGTTCCCTCCTCCTGCTTGGTGCTGTTGTTGCTGCTGCTGTTGTTGCTACTGCTGCTGCTATGGTGCAGGAAAAACGGCAAAAAATATCAACAAACATCAATAGTCTAGACAAGAAAAAAGCGCCATTCGCGGGGCGAGGCGGGGCCAGACAGTACGCAGGTCGGCGGCCAGGCTGGCTGGCGCTCAGGCTGGGAGGTAGACAGCCAGAGAAGCTGTCCACACGAACATGGTGCCGTTTGAGGTCGCACGGCGGGAGCAGAGGCACCAGCAGTTTTCTACCAATCAGGAGTTGTATTGTGTGCCGGTGTGCCGTGTGTTGTTTATTAGGGCCGCCTTCGCGAGAAATTTGGGGTACGCAGACCCTATTCCCTAACCCTAACCCTTAAACCATCTTCCCCGATTGCATTCTGTATCCAAAACGTTTCTATAATTTATAAAAAAAAACTGAGAAGGTAAAGGTTACTGATTTTTTAGTTGCGGGAATGCCCGTGCTTCCTCAACAGATGTGCGAGTATTTTTTAATTCAAACTTTCAAACCGGTCATCACGCCTGCCTCTGGGCCGCAACGGCGCCATGACCCTCCCACATACCCGACGAGGTAGAAACAACCCACGATAGCACCAACACGCACAACCAACACGGAACGATAGGGCATGCAAAAGAGAGGCAAAGCAGCAGGCAGGCAAAACCCTGATGCATTTGTCAAACCAAAGACTAGGTGGCTGAGGACGAAACCGACCAACGACGATACTGCTCGCGGTGCTGATATCGTCAACTGTTTTTTTATTCTATTTCTAAGATTGTGGGAAACTGCGCAGCTACATCCTTGTGGCGATCCAAGCGAGGAACCCACATCGGAGTCGGTAACTATACAGTACAGTACAGCGGTAATGGCGTTAGAGTAAACAGCGGTACAACAATTATGAGCCAATACCCCGGCCCTGAAAGAAAACATATATATTTACGTACAAGCTCATATGTACCACTTGACGATAGAGATCCTTGCGACGAATGTAGTCTATCTCGTAGGCTCAAATGATGAGGTAGCTGCTGTTGGAGGTCCTGGTGGGTTCCAATCTCACATGTTGGCGCCGCGAATACCGAACCCGGCGAAGACACGCTGCATCGATCCCAGCTGGTCGCCCTGCTGTTGCTGCTGCTGCTGCTGGCTGGTGTTGTCGTAAAATGTATGTGCAGTAAACACACGCGCAACCCAGGATTAGACTAGCGGGCATCAACAGTGGTGAAGGAACTCAGAGGTTCCACGAAAAAAAACGATAGCTAGGCGTAGTCTACGTCTTTTCCCATTATCTCTCTTGATCCACACCCACCCCTGCCTCAACATTCCGCCCCCGCTGACAGATGTATGTGGCCCTGCTGTGATCTGTGTTCGTTCATGTCATAATGTTTCACCGTGCTGTTCTTCTGGAGATAACAAACAAAAAAACAATACTCTCGCTCGGTCGTTCTTCAGTTTCCTAGACACGGCGAAGAGGAGAAAGTGCTCGATCGCGCACGCTTGGGATCTGGGGCCGGGCCGAGAGATGTAAGCACGCTTTTTTGCATCTCGCGTCCGGTCGGCTTTTCCCGGCCGCAGGGTTGCGCCCTTTCTTTTTTCTTTTTCGTTGACCTCTTGCCCACAGGGATGGCGCAAGCAATTTCCGCGCCAAACGCATGACCACAACCCTGTCGACCTCGGTGCACGCCGATTATTGTGGGCACATGGGGGTTACACGTTCCACTACGAGTGCTGCGGAGGAAGAAAGAGGGAGAGGGGGGGGGGGGGAGGCACGATGCCGAGATGCTGAACTACGTGCAGTGTCCAACTGGCAAGCCATGCCCCGGCGCAAGATTTACTTGCTCTTTGTTTTCGGCCGTTGATGTTTTCGTTGAAGGAAATACCGACACCCAACATAGCGGACCGCTTTTGGATGAGGACACTCGGCCAGGGGGACCACAACGAGCAAGCAGGCACCTTATTCGTTCTGCATACCCATGTATTGGCGCTCACAGACACTGCTACCCTGGGAACTAGTTTTGCGCACGTGATGAATGCGCGGCATGATGGGCGGGTTGAACCTGCCGCAAGACGGCAAAAGAGAGCCGGCAAACAGGGTCGTTGCGACGAAAAGAAATTTCACGGCAATTGCCCTTGGTGATACATGTACTTGAATGCACTTGCCTTCCTCGAGGCCGAGCCGCACAGCCAGAGAGCGAGCCGGGAAACGAACTCCTGATCGATGGCGTCACCCCCGGTTGTGTTGTGGTCCCAGCAGCAGGACGTGTGACAAGAAGCGAGCAGGCGAGAAGAGAACCCTGAAACAGAACGCGCGGCGGACCATTAAATTACTAAATTACTTCAGGAATAAATTACCCACGACTCCCGGGGACTGCAGACCATCATGAGGCCCCTCTTCCCATTGGTCGAGCGGCAACAGTGCGACCCCAGGACACAGAGCCAGATGCAGCGAGGAGCCGGATGATGGCTTTGTGGAAGCACAGCGGCCTCCGGTGGAATCTTGTTGTCACCCAGTTCCGCGTGCGTGGACATTGTCGATGATGGCGAGGAGCAAACGCAGCGATGCCCGCATCGAGGCGAAGCAAGCATCATGCATGCTCACCAGCGTGGCCAGTTTTGTGGTAATCTGGAGCAGCAGCAGCAGTAGATGATAGAGCGTTGACCCCCGCGTGCGAGGTGGAGATTGTCTCGGTGTAGACAACGATCTGTGGCGTCGAGGTGGCCTTTGACAACTCCTGCTGCCCTCCCTGCAAGCGGGAGCGGCGAACAGGCTGGTGCAAAGAGGACCCCAGTCACTTCGGTGGGACGCAGCAGCGCTCCTTGCACCAGGCGACGGTGTGTGCAGCAACGGATGGGACAGGAGTAGCTCCCGTCGTGAGCGTGGAGCGCACGGAGGTGACCACTGAGAAGTCGGAAACGTCCTCCCAGCAGCAGCCGGTCATAGTCATAGCAGACGCCACAGGTTCTCCTGGGGGAGAGCCACGTGACCTTACGAGCCGCGCCCACCACACTGACAGCGTGTCGGTCATCGACTGCTGCCATGGCAAAGGTTCGGATGATGCCTGAGGTAACGTACTTGTAGCCTGTGTTGCGCCGCTGACGGACAGCCGCAGCAGCCAACAACAAGATATGGCAGGACATCTACACTTATGCATATACATAGAGAGTTGATTTACGACGCAATGAAGAACAGGTTTGCGTGTGCGAAGTGCGAAGCCACACGCAGGGCTCCAGACAGACGTCTCGCTGATGAGATCGCCAAGACGTCTATTCTTTTTGGTCGTCACTTCAAGTCAGCGCTTCACAGCACCTATTTATACTTGGTTTTTGCCGTTTTCTACATGGACTATAAATTAAATCAACACCTATATATATATCATTTTAGCATAGGGGTGTTTGATTTAATTAATTGTTTTTGGGTTTGGGGAGTACATGTATATGGGGGAACCGGAAATAAACTCTGTGTTGTTCAGTCTAAGTGTGCTTTCAACGGCGTCTTGTATTGAGGCGTGCTTGCCAGCATTAATTGTTTTTGGGTTTAGGGAGTACATATCGTCAAACAGAAGGGTTCCTCTCCATGAGGCCCCCTACGCACCCCTCTTGCTGTATGTACAGTACTTTTGCGCTTGAAATATGGAACTGCCTTTCGGACGAGAACAAGACGGAGTTCGGCGAATCCGCCACCGCCACCACAAGACCCCAATCACCGAGACCGCCTTTCAAGCGCTTCCTCTCTGGCACCAAAAAAAGCATTAAAGCATTCATTCGTAGAGTGCGAGAGGAACAACGCGCGGTGAGTTCACGTGGTAGGGGCGTGTGGAGTTGGAAAAGGCATACATATGTCCATATGTGTACGCGGCTGAATGCAGTGCAAATTGATGCATGTGCGTTCAACAATAAAACACCAACGTCCATAGTCCGGCCTACACAACCCTGTATCATATTTTTTGCACGGTAGTCTTTGCTGTGTTGGTGTTTAGTTTTTCCTAATGTAATGTTTCCACAACCGTGCATGCTCCGTGTTGATGTTGCAACAATGTTTTCCCCGTGACGTAACAAGGATACGTATGTTGCATGGGAAAAAAGTAACGTGTTGCCCAACGTTTTGGTACATACCCTGTGTCTACTCTGCTGGATTTGGCCAACTAACCAATCATAAACGTACGTTGCAAAAGCAGTTGGCGGGCTGTCTGTGCGTCATCTGTGCTCGGGCTGGAGCGTCGTTTCGTTTGTTTTCCCGCCCCCCTTCTAGCAGTTCTTCTTGCCTGCAAGCAGGGAAACTTCAGCTGAAATACACCTGTGCCATGCAGTCCCAACCATCGCATCAGAAGGCAGAGCCGAATAAGATGTAGCCACATAAATCTCAAGACGATTGATTAATATTTCTGGGCAAGAGCACGCCTTACACTTACTTGTGCCATGCAGTCCCAACCATCGCATTAAAAAGCAGAGCTAAATAGGATGCAGCCACACAAATCAAGACGATTGATTAATATTTCTGGGCAAGAGCACGCATCACACTTGTGCCATCAGTCCCAACCATCGCATCACAAATGTAAAGCCAAATCAAAGGCAGCGACACAAATCTCAAGACGATTGATGTCTATTTCCGGGCAAGAGCACGCACTACAACCGAAAAATGTGTGTTTTCCCATTATGGTAGTACAAGCGGTAGAAAGGTTAGAAGGCAAGACATGTCAGTTGATGGCATTGTCGTTAGTTTTTGTAGCGGTCTCCACCTGCTCCCCTGTTTTATGCTTGGTCATCACTTCTTCTGTACTTGGCTGCTACAACGGGAGTACGGTATGTTTCTGTGCCCGTTGTGGGTAGTTGTAACGTCGACACTACCTTGTGATACGTCTGTACTGTGTACTGTGGTCATCTATCAGGGAAAAGTACGATGACACGAACAACTTTTGGCGCGCGGTGACGAGGACCATGGAGGGGATTCGAGCACTTGATATCCCCACGTCTCAGGACCCTGAAGCTACCAAGAGGAACGCCATCGACGTTGGGGAGAAGGGAGGGGGTCAAGAGGTGGGGGTGCTGCGTGCGAGAGGATAAATCAATGGGTTGATGACGGTCTCGTGTCACTTCGTAGTCGTGTTTCCCCCTCGTTTTACGCTGGTAAGCAATCACTTAAAAGTGTTGTTGCTTTCTCCTTCCGGTGTGGTAGTTGGTCGGCTCCTGTGTGGGGCAAGAGGAAAAGGGATGGTAGGTCTCGAGGGGTACGAGTAGTCCACGACAAGAAATCATGGCATGGAGCCAAAGTACCGAATATCGACCGCGCGCACATGTATTGAAATTCCTCTTGCCTGAAACTGGCATGCATATCATTCCCCACACCCCTCACCCCGCCCCTCAACCACCCGCGGTTCCTCTCTTCCTCCCCTCTATCAAGGCAGATCCGTAAAGCCGAGCAGTCGGCGGTTGGCGCGGCGTCCGGAATTCCCGGTAGTCTCCGGGGCGCCCTCGACAACCACGGGTCGTCGTCGCCTGGGCTCGCCTGCGCCATGCAGCACTCGTCTTCAGCAGAGAAAGCGAAGGAACGACACGCCGAGCAGGACGCGGAGACACAGCGAATGGCGGCGCGTCTTGATATTTTCGTTTTGGCTTAAGTGGAACGCAGCACAGCCTGGGTGGACTCGCGTCGCAAGATGGGCGAGCTGGTAATCATTATCTTCGAGGTTTTACTCGTGTGTGGTTGATGGGCTCTATTTTTTTGTTCTTGGCATTGTTACCTACCTGTCCATCACTCCAGTTGTGCTTCATTGGGATGCAGCGCTGTAAAAGCGCCAGCCTCATCGCACTTGCGTAGGTCGTGTGTGAGCCATGTCCAGTGCATCGGCGCTTGCGTCATTTGTCGTCGAGGGAGATATATATGTTTCGATTCTGGTGTATGGGTAACGGTAGCGCAAGACGGTAATAGACCTCCTGACAAAACCAGTCGCCGCAGCAGTAGTTCGACAAGCCTATCTCCTGGGAATGGTGTAAACAAATAGCTCCATCCCCTTGAGCCATGCATCCCATGACCGCAGCCCACTCACGACTATATACTCCACGCGCTTCCCGTGGTACAGCCGCCGGTGCATTGGGACGCAACATTTTCTCCGACGTTGGCTTCCGCAACGGAATACCGTGAGACATGCTTGGACCAGCCCATTCCGTGGGCGACCTTCGATGACTTCCGGGCTGCAGTGCGCCCTGCGGCAGGGGACGAGAGGCAGAGGAAAGCCGTTGTTGATCGCTACGGGGTACACCTGCCTCCCCTGGAAGCCGAGGCGAGAGAGAAAGCCGTGTTGACGGTGCTGGTCCTCTACGGGGAGTGAATCATTTCGGACCTCACGGCGAAAGGTAGTGAGAACCACTCACAGACGCGTTTACGTCGACAGGACGCCTTACCCTTCTATACCGTTGGGCCAGCCCATCCCGTGGGGGATCTTCGGCGAGCTCTGGGCAGCAGTTCGCCCCGTCGTACGGGACGAGAAGCAGAGGGAAGCCGTCGTTGATTGCTACGGGAGCGACCTGCTTCGCCTTGTACACGACGGGGGTGATCTCGGACCTCACGGCGGAAGCGGTATAGTGTTGACCACTCACAGACGCTTGTATATCCGCAAGGCGTCCTGATCATACTAACCACTTGACCCACTGCCAACAGTTGTTTCTCTGCGTCGTCGAGAGCAAAATAAAAGGCGGTGGTTGGTAAGGTTGAGTTTTTCCCGACAGCGACAGGCAGGCGGGAGTTGCGTGCATTGCCCATTGCGTGATTCTGCACGGCTCCATGTCACGATTCGTCATTTCGTTTGCATCCACGCGCTAGAGATAGAGCGACGACTTCGAAATTATGATCCTACGTGTTGAGAAGCACGATGAACACTAGACCACTACAATATTCAGCGCTGACTAGTGGTCTAGTGGTCATTGTGCTTCTCAACAAAAGTTCATGCCCGTGTCCGGTCTGGCTTTGCAGCCACGAACACGTCCCCCCCAGGGTTGCTATCCCTGCGATCAGCGCTGTCTTACCCGGAAATCGCTATCGGTACAAGAGGTTCATCGGCGTGTTTTGCGAAGCCTATTTTCCCAGGCTCTTTCTGTAGTAATTTTCTACCACCGATCGAAGATCTAAGCAGCCCGCTCCTCTGGTGTGGCGGGACTGCTTCAGGTATCCCATCCGTACGTGTGTAACAGCCCGCTCCTCTGGTGGCGGGACTGCTTCAAGTATTCCATCTGCACGTGTGTAACAGCCCGCTCCTCTGGTGGCGGGACTGCTTCAGGTATTCCATCTGCACGTATGTAGCAGCCCATTCCCTGGTGGCGGAACTGCCGTAGTAAGATGTACCTCACACCGGTTGTAACAAAGCCCTCTCTCCTCTGGTGGTTTAGCTGCGGCAGGTATATTTTCCACCTGCACTTGCTGGTGCGTGATGTAGCAGCTCGCGCCGGCCTCCGGTGGCGTTGCTGCTGCATTATGTTATATTTCTCTACCATGCCTGGGTGGTTGTTTCTTGTCCGACAGTGTTCGCCTGCTCGGTTTGCTCTTCCTTGTCTTGTTCTATGTGCGGCGCTGACTAGTGGTCTCGTGGTCATCGTGCTTCTCAACACTACGCTTTTGTCAAATTGGTAAATGTAGTACGAATTCGTGTGTCGTGGATGCTAGTCTCACGGTTGCGAAATTGCCCCCAACTGCGATTTAGGTTCCCCCAGCCTGTATGTCATCTCTATCGTTGGTTTGTTTTCGTGTCTTGACTGAATGCCATGGGATTGTGATGTACCTCAGACTCTAAGTGGGAGCAGGAGGCTTTTCCTCTGGTCTTCCCTGCAAGGATGCGTGTTTGATTGTTGGTAGTTGATGAGGCGTTTATGTTTCGTGGTCTTTTTGTGTGCCCGACTCCGAGTGGAAGCACGGGGAGGCTGCTCCTGTTAATTGTTGTTGGCATAAAACGATGCACATCATATCCGTTCACGACTCGATCTTGCTGATCATTTCCGGACGGCAAGATGCCAAACTCTTCACCCCGGAAATGCCTTAGAATGACATGTGTGCGCTACATGCGCCTGTCTACCAACGATCGTAGGCCAGCGACGTCGTGCGACAGTGCCACCGGACACCCTGCCGCATTCCTGGCCGGCATTGCTTGTGCTCACCCTTCCCCGTTCCATCTGCTCTGTGAAACGTTCCGCCTTTCAACTGGGAAATTAGCGATCCACCAACGGATCAGGCGGTGTCTTTGAGCCGGGACGATGACACCTCGCGTGCAGTGTGTGCTGTCAACACGGACGTCAAGCACCAACCCTACCACAACCGTAGCCATAACCCTTGTTTTACCTACGCGGCCATGGAATCTGATTCTTATAAAACGCCATGGGCCATTGTAGGTCGTTGGGATATACGGAGCGCATTGAGCGAGAGAGACCACTCTCAGAGCATCACCACGACACGTCTTGTTCACTCATCTGGTCGTGCAGCACAACCACCACTCCCCCACCCCTGTCCTACGTTTCACGGGGGTGGTCCAATCTGGGGAATAGCCATCGTGGTTCACCCACCCACTACACATGTGGAGTTATCCTCGCAAGTGGAAACTGGTGCGTTGGTTCGCACGGGTACGCAAGGGCCGCCATTTATATCTTGCGCCGTCCTACATAGTCACAGCAGCAGCCAAAAACACTACCGCGGTAACAGCAAATAGTTACGAGCAATGATCTAAACGTTGCCATCAGGCCATGCGGCCCGGATGCTCTCCGCCATGACGGACAACGGCTTGACAACTCTGTACAAGCTGCAGTCTCTCATCTTCTCCGGTCATACGCCATCATGCGTCGCGAAAGTAGCACACATGGCAGATCGATCCGTTTCGTCTTCCCGCGCTCTCAATTAGCGTCACAGTGCACCCCACGCTTGTGGCTATCCTACGCTACCGGTCGAAGGGGTCTGACTTCAAGAGGGGACTCCCCAGAACTTGCATTCTTCTTTGGCATCTTCACACCCCTCCTACGATGCTTTTCGCAGCCTCAAGTACAGTACATCTCAACTGGCCCGTACCATCCTTGCATCCCCCTTAGGCCAATCGTTATCACCGCGCTTGGCAGCAGCAGGCTGGGCAGTCAGTCTCACATAGACCGTGCAAGCATCGCTGAACCGGGTGCCGCCTCCCCCCACCACGCCGCAAAAAACGAGCCCTGTGGGGCTTGCGTCGTCCCTCTTACTGTCTCAGTCGCCATGCAGCGGCAGAGTGCACAACACCTCTCCATGGGGCCATCTCTTTCCAATCGGCATTCCGTCGCGTTCCCTTTTTTTTTCCTCCGGCGTGAAGGAAACGCCAGCATCGCTCAGCACGTGTGCATCGATCTCTGTAAACCTCTGTCACGGCTCATCTCTGGACCCATGCGGTGTAAGTTGAAGCCGCGGGGGTGTTGTGTACGTCGTTCACTCCATCATGCCGATTTTCGCCATCATGCGGCAGACGACGTTGTGCGTCACTCACTCCATCATGCCGTTCCTCGCCATCATGCGGTAGACGGAAGCCTGCCAGGACGTCATCACCTCTTGGCCCTCCACCTGTACAGATGACCACAAACCACGACCACATGGAAACGTGCGTCGTCGTTTTCAGTTCGTTCGTCCCGAAATAGAAGATAGAATTGAGTCAAGACAGACTCAGGGTCCCGCGGGGCGAAGGACGTCACAAAAAGCAACAAAGTACGGCAGCGTGCACACCGCGATGGAACAGGCTTTCACACATGAATGAAAAAGTGGTGAACGAAAGAAGGGAGGGTTGAAGAACAAAAAGCTCAGGCAAAAAATGCAATTTTTCAGTCGGAAGAACCGCCCAAAACCTACGGGAAAAAAAACGTTGCGCTCTCGAAAACCCGTGCGGAAAAACGGGACTCGCAGTAGGCAGCAGGGACGATCAAAGAGGCAAGCGAATGACCAAAACCCATACAAGTAGCAAAATAGATTACACTGGAAGACACGGTAGGTTCCAGACACGCAGGCCATTGCCATCCCGTCCCACATTCTGCTCAAGCACGGGCTCCTTGACGACTACCCCGACTTTCTTCCCATCTTCGGCGATAGACAAAATGGACTATGGAGTCAAGAGGGATATCCGAGCATTTCCGGCAAAGGACAAAATGGACCCCAGACCCGAGAGGGTCATCCACGACTTCCGGCAAAACGGTCAGATGAACTGTTGTGAAGATCCAGCGGGGCACCCACGTATGCCCAGTACACAACAACACGAACTACTGTACAGATCGAAGAGGGAGGTCCCGGGCCTATCGTACCTCGCCCTCGAGGATCCCCGCGAACGCGGCCGCGCCCAGGGCCACCGCGCGGTCGGGGTCCACCGTCCTCTTCGGCTTCACCCCGGTGATGCCACCCACCAACCTCTGCGGTGAATATCAGAAAAAAAAGAAACATCGAGAGCGAGATAGAGAAAGAGAGAGAGAAGGGAAAAAAAATGTTCAACACAACAGGCGGCGAAATTACAACAGGTGAACGCGTCCTTTTCGCTGAAAATATTTATGTGGTGTATTCGAGGTCCTGTAGTTGGTTTGATATAAAGACCGCAATGTTTGCCCGGTCGCCCCGGTGGTCTAGTTGGTATCCTCGAAACCTTCTAGAGGTCAGGTCAGGGGTTCGAATCCCGGCGTAAGCGAGCTTTTCTTGCAAAGTGAGTTTTTCTCTCGCTTCCGCTTCTGGCCTAGTGGATACAAAGCGCTAGTTCGTGTGTACACAGAGGAAAGAGAGTGCTGAAATCTTCTCGCATTAAAAATCGAAGGCAAAGTACCGCAGGAGGGGAAGGTAAAGAGGGGCTCTTCTGTGTGCACACGGGTAGGAGTAAACGGCACTAGTGCTGTGAGCGCTGATTTGAAGTGAAGACAAAACAAAAATAATAAAAAAAAAAGACCGTCTACAAAGAAATGAGTTGTACCCGATACAGTAGTACATGCGTAAAACTACCAAACACGCCCTGAGACTAGGTGCTTTGTCTTGTTCCGCACACAGTATAAATGGCAGTTCACGACGACGATCTGGACAGGAAAAAAAGTAACACAGCAGTCCACGAAAACACACACTTACGATATGAGCAAACCGCAGGCCGAAACTCCAAGACTCACTTCGCGCGTGAAAATTGAAGAGGCGGCAGCTATCTATGTCCGCCGCGCCCCATTCACACAGACGGGCAAAAAGCGAGCGCAGTGTCCATGTGAAAAACGAAGGAGATGTCACTATATACATAGAACGTTGTGCGGAGATCAGCAGGCACACGGGTAGGTCACGCACGCATCACCATGCATTCATTGCAAAACTGTTCTTGCCTGTTCATCTGTTCATAGATATGAAGATTTGTGGTTCGACAGAAAAAAGCACATGCGAGACAGACAGAGACAGACAGACAGAAAGAGAGAGACAGCGAGAGAGAGAGAGAGCAGCTGACCTGTACGCAGGGCATCCTTGTTGCACCCCCGACAAGAACGACCTTGTCAACCATCCGCCCCCCTTGAGGAAAACGCCTCAGCTTCGCGCTCCCGTCCATGCTCCGAGCAACCTCGGCCATCGAAGACACCTGGTTCCACAGATGCGGCGCCATGAACAACATATATAACGTAGTACTAGGGGAAGCGCATGACATCACTTTCGGAAACCATGGTGGTCTAATAGAGACGTGATCACGAAACAAAAAAACAGTACAGCGTTGCGTTCAAAGCGTCACCGTTGTCACAAGAGATGTGATGATCAGAGCCAAACAAACAAACAAACAAACTGGGGGGTGTATCAAGACTGCCGATAGAGTTATGACGACGAGAACAAATGCAACCCGCCCCCCCCCCCGATGTTTGCCATCCATCACTTCGTGATCTCGGCAACCAGGTTACCGCTTTTTTTTTTTGCCTTTGGTTTGTTTGTGTTTTGCGGTAACCATGAATGGTGGTCGAGTTGATTATGTTGTGCGGGGTCGAGAACCCTCACTCCGCGCAAAGGGGATGATCGCACCGCGTTGTGTTAAATTGGTCAAGCATCCTCAAGGCAGTTACACAGTGCTTACAACGGTCTCTGGAAGTGAAAGCACCGGAAAATAAATTAAGCCATACGCAGCTGTCATCCGTACGCAAGTAAGTAAGCACAAGATGCCGAACAACCTTAGCAGGATGCAGCGCGCCCTTCGTGCGACTTGCCGAATACCTCACGGTGCTTCGCGCTTGGTCATGTGAGAGCTTGGTCCGGTGAGAACCCGGCGTGCTTCCGTCCCGGCTTTGAAGGGATGCGAGGTCAATGGTCTAACGACTACGGCATGTACGACTATTTATGAGCACACACACACCCCAATATCTCAAAGTGCTCGCCACAGCAGAACCCCGTAGTCTCGCCTGCTTCCTCAGAGACTTGGACTGGGACCTGGCCTTTTTTCTCGCTTTCGCCTGCTCTTTGCGGAGTTTCCGGAGGCTTCCCCCCTGTCGTTCCGCAGCCTCGCCCCCGCCACTGCTAACGCCTTCGCGCAACTCCCTCGAATCCTCTAAGTCGTAGTCCATGAAGGCTCCCGTGTCTGCCGGGAGGCTGATGTCGGCCATTATGGCCACTTCCCTGGTGGGCGATCAAAGCAACGCGGTCGATCGACAGTTGATTCGGGTGGGTGTGCCTTTGATGACCCCGAAGGTAACAGCTAATCCGCGTATAGCAGTAGCGGGCTATTCGTTGGTATTAACTTGCTCCGGCACAATCAAACAAGGGGAGGAGGGGAAGCGAGAACCGCCCGAGCGAAAAGTTTTTGCGTTGATTGGGAGGATCTAAGGGATTGTCACCTTTCAGTGCGTCCAACAACCGGATCGGATCGGTTAGGAACGAATCCCGTCGCATCGCATCGGGAGGCCCTTACTCGCGGGAAGATTGACCGCGCGAGTAACGGGGGAGGAAATTCTCCTTGTTGTCGCTGTAATCTTCACGTTCACAAAAAAAACTGACGCAGTCTGTGCTCAAGTGCTTGGAATCGGGAGCACCAATCATGACGTCATATCAAATCACCTCATCGGCGCCATGACACGCTTCAGCGGCTCCATGATCAACGACTCCATTTTTGCTCTGGAAGGAACGTAGGGAAGCATGCGCACGGAAGGGAGAAGCGACGGGGAGACGGGGTAGCGATATCCGAGGCAGAAAGAAGGGAGAGGGGGGGGCGGGGGGGGGGGAGGATGATGTTGTTACTGGCTGTAGTCATAACGAAATAATCTTGGCACTGGCATACTGGCATAGGCTGTGTTTCGGCAGTAGAGTGATTTATGTGCGCTCAGCCAAAGCACAGTACAGGTCCGACCCAGTGCGTTCCCCCCGCTCCGATCCCGCGTCACGCCACGTAATCCCCCGAGTGTCGTGAAAAAATAAGGCCTAGGGGTGAGCCTGACGCCCCTCCGCCTATCGGGAGTCGTGCCAGCGTCATACACAGCCCCACAGGCCATGTCCCACCTAGCCCGGCCCCTTCCCCTAGCTAATAATGTGTATCCCGCCTCCCCTATCCCCTCATCCGCGACGACCCTCCCCAATTCCCAAGCTCTACCTTGGGTCTCTCCAGACCAAAAGTCTTTTTATTCCGCGACACTTTCATTAACATAGCCCACCCCTTTTGCCCGACCGGGTCTCACAAGCCGATCTCGAGCTACAGCGCACGACGTGCGACAACCGAAGCATGACTCGGTAGGGCATCGCAAATCATGACGCCTCCCCGAGTTGCAGCAGCTTCCGCTCACTACAGCGGACGAGAGGCGTCGTTGTTTGCTTCGCCCTGTTGTGCGGCGGTTGAGCAGACCGAGGGGGTCCTGTTCGTAAGAAATAATACTTCCGAGAACCAGGGGGGGGGATCCGTCCGCGAAAAACGAGTGTTGGTTCATGTTGTACATATGGCATGTGAATATGGAAGTCATGCAGCACACCCATCCATCTATGCGAGCTGCATCTCTATAGGGGCATCTCTGGAGGAGCTGAGTTATCGCCCTGGTTGCAATGTGCATCCTCTGCTGGGCAGCGGTGGTTGTTATCGTAGTCGTTCCCGCTTCCCGCTTCAGCTTTTTTTCACCCAGTCAGGTGCTGGTAGTCTTCTATGGTTATTGGTGTATTTTGTGTTGTCATCTTGGTCTGGTCCATCCGTGTTGCTTCCTTGTTGTGTTGGTTAGAGCTTCTGTGCTGCTGTGTGACGGCCGCTGGCTGCTGGTGTATGACAGCTGCCTTGCTGTTGCCCCTGTTGTCCCTGCCCTTACTCCAGCGCATGCGTGACGAGTCGAGTCCGTGGTATGCTGCTTTATTTCTGGCTCTCACACAGCAGTTTGTCTCATGTCTTGTACAGATACAGGTCTATACATACATAGAGAGCTTTCGACGAAAAAGCGGTCGACGTCCGGTGGTGGGTGTCCCGTCAAGAAGGGTTAGCGGCAGGTACACTCGACATCGCGGGTTACCACCACAAGAGTACGACTCTTCGCCGGACCCACTAGGACGAGAACAACCTCTGTCCGTCCGTTAGGTTGCTTCCTTCCCTCTCTCGCTCCTGCCCGGCATTTTTTTCTTTTATGCTTACAACGAAAATCAAACGGTTGCCTGGAGTCCCGGTAGTAATCCAATTTACGGGGTCCGCTCCGCGTGACAATTTGTTTTTGGCCGGGGTCCGCTCCCTTGCAGCCGTCGCCGAACTCGTCGTGCCCGCACAGAAGGCACGTCAGGGTAGTGGCCTGTTCTGCTGTCAACTTCGCCATAGTCCTCGGAGTCTGCTCGACCGTCTCATGGAAACCCCCCACACGTTTTGGAGACACTCGACATTTCCTCAACAAGTTGAGTGTCTCCACAAATTTGGGGGGGGTTCCAGAAGACTGTCGAGCAGACTCCGAGGACTATGCCGAAGTTGACAGCAGAACAGGCCACTACCCTGACGTGCCTTCTGTGCGGGCACGACGAGTTCGGCGACGGCTGCAAGGGGTGGGGCGTAAGGTGACCACTTTCTGCGTTGTTGGTTTGTTCGCTTGCTGATAACCACTTTCTCAAAATGACAAGCGCTGCGAAGTACCTGGTTTGAGTGGTCGCAGGGTGCTGTAGATCATGTGTCTCTCGCCCGTGACGTAACAATGACAAGGATATTAGATCTAGGCGGGAGTTGAAGCTCGGGAAGACAGAAAAGGAAAGGAATAGGGCACGAGTCTTTATCACCTCAGCCCCCCCCTGCTGGAGGCACCGCCAACCGTGTGTTCTGTTGTGGCGAAAATAGCCAGGCGTTACATATTGCCACGCGCTGCTGTTCAAATAAAATGATAAAACACGTTTGCCTCGGGTTCGCCAACGGTTCTTGAACAATCGTCGCGCTACTGAACCACCCCCACCTACCTAGTGAAAGGATAGACTAGGGAAGACAATTTTGAGCCACCTTTGGCAAAGCAGGAAGGAACTGTTGGTCATCGGTGATCGGTCCTGTGGGTACAATGCACCGTCCTCTCGAGGACGCGTGGTCAATGGTCTCACCGCTAAGGCATGCAAAACATAAAAAGAGTACGCCCCCACCTACCTAGTGAGAGTCACGGAGCCCCCCTGGCCGTTGGCGAAGGTCACCTCCACCTCCGTCTCCGACGCGTTGGAGAGCCTCTCCCTCGCCGCCCTGGCTTTCTCGATCAGCCGCCTGGTGGCCACGGGGCTTGACCGGGGGTCTCCGCCTCCAAGGCTGGTGATCTCGTCGAAGAGCCACTCCGTAATCGCCTGGTCCGTTCGTTTTCCCGTCGGGGGCATCGCGGAGTATTAATCATTTTTTGCATGCCTTAGGTGTAAGACCATTGGCCACGCGCCCTCGAGAGGAAGGGGGGGGTGCACTCATAGTCGTGCATGCCGCAGTCGTTAGACCATGGAGAGGACGGGGGGGGGGGGGGGGGGGGTT